TTTTTTTATTGTCATATAGATCGTGACACAAACTTATCCGTCCATTCCTTTATTTTTAACTTATCATCTAGGCATTTATCTTTTACGACTATATGTTTATGAAAATTATATAAAAATAAAACTATATGAAATTATTTTTTTATGGCAACTCTATGAATATCATTATTACATATCAAATTTTCACAACTTTGCAGTTGCAGATATTAGTGAGTTAATATTTTGATGTTTGACACCATATATACATATTTAAACGATATATATTTATAAACGAAAGGGAGTATCACATTAAGTTCTTAGACCCGGCTGAATTCAGGAGAAAAAACTCTGGGCGTCCGACTAGTAAGCTACATGCAAACATATATATTGTACCAGCCGAATTCAGGTATATGGCTTATATGCACTGGGTGAAGAATCATACATTAGTCAAATCTTATCCTCCTAAATATAGTTGGATACTTGGATATATACAGAATGTTCTTGCCATAGAGACATGTAAAAATAAATGAATGATGCATACATGTTATGTTTTTTTTGACAGAGTGGGGCTTGCAAGAGGCCTTTACAGGCTAATGTTATGTTAATGGTATTTTATATTTTTCAAAAGTGATTTTTGAATATATTTAAAATACAGATTGACATTTGTCTATTTGTCTATATAAGCTTTTTGTAACATAAAGTTTTTAACAGAATGTTTTATCTGAAGAATTTGTTAGTGTCCATGTGAAAGTTTTTTTTAATATCGACGGTAAGTATATTTAGCAATTATTCTTAATGAAATATGTTACTACTTTTAATATTTCTACCCACAATTTTTTATTCTTTAATTCCTAACAAGTACATACGTCCAGATTTGTAACCATGATTTGATTTTTTATGAGACGGATGAAGCATATGGCTATGTTCGGTTCATATTGCTGCAGTCACATCACAGCTAAAATGCCCCCACGCAAAAGAAAACATAGCAGCTGCACTGTACAACCGCAACAAATATATATCGAACACACCCTCTATGGCAAATCTTTCAATTGTCAAGAAAACCAAAATTTTCGAACAAACTCCGGCGCTCAAAAAGTGGTGAATTTAACTATTTGCCACTCTAGTCAAGTAGCCACTCTCGCGCCATCTCGCTTAGACTTCAATGCCCCACGGTGATAGAACACGGCCCACTGTCTCCTGCATGCGCAGCGTGGGCCGAAGCTAACGTGATGGCCCAAACCATAGACCCAGTCACAAGTACAAAAGCTCAAATATATATGACGTTGTGTATTGCGAACTAATCCATAACCATGTAAAACATGTCATTTTATTAGCAGATTAATCAAGTATTCATTAAAAAATTTTAAAAATATATATTAATATAATTTTTTAAATCACTTTCTTATAGAATTTTTTGAAAAAAAAATATACCATTTAGTAGTGGGGAAAGTATGCGCGTGGAAAACCAACAAGTAGAAGAACACATGTTGCAAGTGAAAATATGAAGGTAGCGTTAGCCATGTTGCAAGTAAGGTCAAAATAAATTGAAATTTGCATTAATAGTTAAATATTGGCAGTGAAATTTACTCAATAAAAAGTTTTCAAACAAACTCGCCCAAAATTAATGGGGCGGGACGGCGGTGGCAGCCGTCGGCGCCTCCCGAGGCCGTCACCGGCGGTGGGTCCCAGCGCGATGCATCGCCGGACCCGTGCAGCGACCTCGACCTCATGTCTTTCTCCCGCCGCCGCCGCCGCCACTGCTACTCCGTCGCCGCTAGCTTCTCCTCCTTCGTCGGCGCAGTGGCGCCCTCGCCGGCGACTTCCCTCTTCGACCAGGAATTTCGAGGGGCTTGCTGACAAGTACAATCTAGCACTCGGAGAGTATAAAAAAAATATTATCATGGTTTCACAGAGCATGCTCAGAGTCTTTCTAGCTTCAGATTTTTTTTTATCATTATTTTTTTCTAGGTTCAGATTTGAAAGAGAGAAAACTTGTTGATATATTATAGGGTGCATAAATTCATTTAAATTTAGCCCAGCCCAACCTAGCTTTGGGAGTTGGGTGAGACAGAAATTTGGCCTAGCAATGCATTCGGCCCAGCTTGTCAAGATGGAATTGCACTACTCATGTAGTAGTAATCATTCATGCTCTGCACTTCTGCAAAAATCAAAAAGCAAGTAAATAGTTGTTAACTTTTAGGTACTCCAGCTACTAGTGCAACATCATGAGCAGAATGTACAGTAGTGTGGCAATTAATAAAAACAGCAATCTGGCTACAGTCGAAATTATATGTTTTTGTACGAAAATGGTGATAAAATAATCAATGCAGGCTAAGAATTGTTCCTGCTTATTAACACTGTTTTATGCTGGCAGTGGTGAGAACAGTGATTTAATTGGTTGGAGATCACCGTTTTTTTTCTTTACCACGAGTAAATTACTGCAGAGCCAGCTCGGTTTTCATGGAGCTATTTTTTACTTTGTGAGTTGTCTTCTTTTCATAGCTTGTATGTGTGCACGGAATATTCTTCCTCTCTCACACATCATCACCCCCCTATATATAGAGTATCCTCTCCCATTCACCTTGCACATCACCACATCATTTCTCTCTCTCTCTCTAGTTCTTCCTAGCTATCTCTCTCTCTCTCTAGATCTTGTCGTCCTCGTCAACAATCCATGGAGAAATTGTGTAGTAGTAGTTCAGGAGATGGTGATTGTTCATATTGCAACATGTATTGTGGTAGCAAATCCATGCATAAGCAATGGCATTGACATGCATGGAGATATATGTGTAGCAAAGATGAGAGATCTAGGTGACAAGAGAAGGAGATGATGGAGATCAATGCATGGATAATTGATCTAAAGCAAAGGTGATGATATTGGGAATGTGCCTGGCTCCCTGTATGCCACTCATCTAGAGCAACAAACTTCTGCGAGAGGTTGCCTATGATGGATGGCGTGCACGGAGCCAAGCATATTCCCTCCTATTTTCCAACCTTCTCCTAATTAATCCTTTCCTTTCTCCGAATTGGCTTGGTTGCTTATTGTTTTCTTACATATATTATCCACGCATGTTTTTGATTTTATGTTTATGCATGGTCCTTCGACTTCTACATGGTAAATTACACGATAATTCGATAAATATATGTATATCAAGTAGGACAAACGTTTGTGCATTTGTTGAAGTTTGAGGGAGGTTCGTAAAGCCATATATATGTCGATTTTAAATTCTTTTTGCAAGCTAATATTATGTTTGTTGATAAATATCTGTCCTTGATGTCATCTCATTATCTCTTATATATGTATACCTTTTTATTCTGTTGTGGAGAAATATATGGATTTGGACTATTCTTTTGGGATAATTGCCTGCAGGCAGCTATTCCACGGACGACTGGATCTTGATCTTGATCAGTATTATTCAATGTGATTTGCAAAACAGTATAAATGCAATGCATTCATTGCGTACAGTATTTGTATATCCTGCAGCTAATGCGTGGTAAATGAAATGCATTGTTTTTCTCCATTTTTTATAGATATATTATACGTACTCCTCCAGGTATTAATTGTCATAATAACTAGTTACCATTTCCCCCTTTCTTCTCTAATATGAATGGAAATAAGTTTTCCCTTGGAAGATTTTCATGCAGATTTCTATCAAATCCTCCTTTCAAAATTGCCCACAATGATTATATAAACTGATGGTTCTCTCCATTGTTACTAGTAATGTATAAGATACTAGTAATGTACATATCTTTGTGACATTTTGAAACAACATGATACTAGCTACTACCATATCCTGCGAGATGTTCTATGTAAATCTCATATTAGCTTAATTTCCCTCTTTGAAATGGATTTTGGGATAACAATGGAAAGCATTTAGGTTCTGAAAAATCATCTAAATGAGCATCATTAACACTCTTGTGCATAAATGTTCAAAAGGATTGCACGATATCAGTTAACCATTGATTTCAAATATATGTTTTCAGGCCACTTTGATTTGAAAATAGCATATTCACTCCATGCTTATCCGGAATTTTCTCCTTCATAAAGTTACCTCATGTAGATATGCCTGTTTATAACCATGCAAGGCTTGACTAATCGAAAATTTGAAGCAGGGCTCAGAATTCTAACCAGTTTGATTTATATGTTTTTTTTAATGAAGTTTGATTTATATGTTGTCGTCTGAGTGATCATATAGGAGTGAATTCTAGAGATTTTTTTCCCCAAATTATGACCAAGTCTAGCCAGCATGCAGCTGCTCTCGAGTGGTTGGGGATTTGAAGACCCATTTTGATCAATAGCTTTGAATCTTCCATGTACCAGCTCTATGAATCTTCAATGTATCAATTTTTTTTTAATGAAGTCAATGAATCATATTTCATGTTGTTTAAATCTGGTTGTTCCAGGTTTTGTTATTGGAATAAATCGAAACTTCGACATCTTGAGCACCCAGTGTCAATGTTACATCGATTCAACAAAAAAAAATGAATTCGGGAACATGCGAAGTGTTTGTACGCGTTTGTATCGAGTAATAAAAAGCATCCACATACAGGAACAGGTACAAATAAAGCTGACGCCAAACAAGTGGCTGGACTGAAGGACAATGCAGAGACTGAAAACTGTGTGAATTGTATACTATATATTCAAATTTGATTCCAGATAGATTCAAGAAATGTCCATTGATTTCATTCAAGAGAATATCACCATTGATTGATATATCTGTCAGTTGTGTGCTGCAAATCTAATCCATTTCCACCTAATATTAGCTTTTCAAGGAGCCCACACGTATACAGTTATACTGTTACTCCCTCCGTTTCACAATGTAAGTCATTCTAGCATTTCCCATATTCATATTGATGTTAATGAATCTAGATATCTAGATTCATTAACATCAATATGAATATGGGAAATACTAGAATGATTTACATTGTGAAACAGATGAAATATTTTGTTTTGAGTACTAAACACTATCATTTGAGCTACAGCCGACCAGTCATAGAAAAATGAATGAAGCAGCCAAAAAAAATATAGGTACAACTTTTATATATGTATTATTAGAGGTTTAAAAGTTAAGGCTGAAAAATAAACTACGATAAAAAGAACCCCCAATCAACTCTAACAAGTCTCAACATTCAAATAGACAATGATTAGCTAATCCCATCGCCTTAATTCACTAAGCAATCACATGATCAATTACTACCTGCAATCTACACCCTTCTTAACAATCATTTCGATGTCTAAAATCTTAATAAGCACGTGGAATTCGATAGCCAGCGACGACTTGAAGAGGTTTTACTGAAGATCGAGAAGATACCAGCTGACAAACAGATATACAGTCCCTCATATAGTAGCAGCCTGAAATAGTCATGTGCAGGCGATTCAGGTAAATTGTCAGTGTACGGCCGACTAGGCTGTCTGCATGTTAAATTGCTATACATTAGTAGTATCCAGATGAAGAGCTACTGCACAGTATGCATTGTACCTCAGATTTGTTGATGGTGATCACATGCCCGGTGTAAGGTAGCTGCTGCATATCCAAGCAAGATGTGTAGAACAGTACACTGCTTGCTGATGCTGACTGTTCATCACACATGATCAAATAGAGAAGAGTCAGTCATTGACAATGGCATCAAATTGTCTCTCCTAGTATCTGGCTATCCATCCAACCGGAATACCAGATAAGGGACGCACCATGTATGCCATGATACAGTCTTCACAAACATTTGCAATGGAGAAGGCCATTGGTAGCAGCTGATCTTGGAGCTAGGTTGATCATGAATGTATCAGCAGCTAGCATTCACCAGTGTATACATGTGTGGCCAATCATGCAGCAAGAATTATTGTAGGGACTTGTCCCTTGTCGCCGGCAAGGCTCACCGGCATGCAGCTTTGTCGCGGAAGCCGAGGAGCGGTGACAAGGCGCTACACGTCGCGGCCCCTGCTTAGCTGGCAGCATCACCTCGGCCCCTGCAAGGGAGGTGAAGCTCAAGGCTGCTGCCAGCCAGCCATTGCTGTCCCTGAGGACAGCACCAGCACCACCATGTTAGCACCCTCTCTCAGCTTCAGTGGTGGGGAATCCACCTGACTCCAGTGTGTAGACAACCTACAAAATGACACAGGGGTGAGCACTATGCAGATGCAGATAATGCATGCATACATTGCTTACCCAGTGGCTGGATGCATTTGCATTGCCATTTCTGCAAATTGCCCAGAGGGGGGAGCAACACTCAGATCTTGCAGCCCATCATGGAGCAGCAGATGTCCAGCCAACAGATGAAAACATTCAACAAGGAACCATGCAGTATCATCTAAAGCAGTAGTGCCAAACAACAACGTGGTGTATATGGTAAGCCACAGTGCTCTAGTCTGCTGTGAAATGTAGTATATGGGGGAGAAAAGATTCCTTCAGACACTGTAACTGAATCACAACCAGATTGTTGCTCACATTTACATATCTCAATGGTACAATCCATGAGTCATGCACAATGGCAGTGTGTTGTGTTTGTGGACTCAATCTCAGATACAGAGAGGCATATGAACTGTGTATGACAATGCTCGGAGAGTTTGCGCAATACGATTACTTCTTTGAAACTGTTACAGTTCAAGCGCTAGAAGCGCCTCTTCTCAAAACAGAACTTTGTATGAGGAGCTATTTCTCACCTATCTCATTCTAGTGCAAACAACTACTTGCTGGATTACATGTGTATTTATACTACTTTTTGGTTGATCTCATTTGTGATTTCTTGGAAGACCCAGAGGCGGTTCTGAGGCCTCCATGGTCTCGCATTCTTAGGCCAACGATTGGTGGCCTCAAAGTGACTGGAACCTTGAAAATGTTCATTGTCACCAAATGGCACATAACCATGTCCATATCTTTCACACTTGGATTTCCAGTCAGGAAAAAGCGAACGCTGAGCTGTGCTGCTTCTCCAAGGTGGTTGCTCTGTGCCTTCAGCTCTATCACTGAGATGGCTTGTGTCGAGCCTTTGGGAGACTCGGTTACTGTAATCTTGCACCTTCTGCTGTCTCCATTGTGGAGCAGTCCTGACAAACTTCATGTTCACGTTCTCATCTGTGGATATTTTGGAGTCACTGTGTCTCCATGAATCCGCTGAAGAACTCTGTGGGTGATCATCCACGCTTGATCTTTTTAAGGCGCTGCTTTCTTGAGAGAATGAGGGTGTTCTATACATCTCCTCATTTGCATGCTTGCAGCTTACATTTCGCTTAGTAGTGTCCATACCGATCGTTGAGCTGACATCACCCAATTGACGTTCATCTTCTTCCACCATATCAGCCCATGTTTTTCTAACACCATTGACAAGAGCCTTTCCCTCTGGCCTAGTATTCTCACCAGCATCTGTGGAGCCACCAGAGTTTGGCAAGCATTCAACAAAACTAGGAATCTGAACTTGGTGCTGTATGCTGATATTTAGTGTGTCCTCTTTCACCAGCCGTTTTCGTAGTTTCTCAAGCAACGACTGGGGTGTAGCAGCATCATTGAACAGTCGAGAAAGATCTTGGTATTCATTCAGGCATTTCTCATTATTCTCCCCACTGGTAGCAATCAAACTTTCTGGTTCTTCACGTTTCATCTGAGTAATGGGAGATGGAAATACTTGTGAATTGCAATCCTCCTGCTTCTCTGCATCAGCAGCAACTGAAATATGTGGTTCTTCAGATTTCAGTTGAGTCAAAGCAGTTGAGGATACCTGTGGCTGTAAATGCCCAAGGTTCTCCGCATCAATAGCAAGCCAGATTAATGATTCTTTAGATTTCATCTGAGTTATGGGAGAATGGAGTGTTGGTGACTCAAGTTCCATAAGCATTTCTCTGGCCCGAGCAAGAGACCTCACATGGCTTTCATCACTGCAGTTGTCAGGTATAGATTGGAGAAGGTATTTAGCTTCGGCTACCTTTCCGGTCTTTATCAGGCAGATAGCTAAGTTGCACTCTTTGTTATAATCAGCTTCTATAGCAAGAGCTTGCCTGTGTCAAATGACATACGGCTAGTCAGTAGTCAGTACCAGCTGGATTAGTTGAATAACGTAAACCAGATATCACTCCTACTAGTATCAGCATTCATTAGAGCTGATTGTTGCTTGCAGTTTCAATAAATGGTTTTTATTATATAATTACTTCTAGGATTCATAAGTGCTGACTGCTGAGTATAGTCATTTCAAGCCCACCTAGATGATTTTAACTGTGCGGCCACATGTTTTGTTTTCCTTTTTGAATGAAAAGGGTATGAGCTCTGCCTATACATGTTTTGTTTTCAGTTTTCACACTATGGAACTATTGAAGGAATATAGTAGCGCCTATTTTTTCCTCTTAATTTTCTCAAATGAACACCAAATGTGAGCATTTCTAATAAACTAGAAATCAGGATAAATAAATACTGCCACTTTGGGAGATACAAGCCATCTGATGTTGATGAAAACTGGACTCAAAAGTATACCTGTAGAGCATTTCGGCCTCATCATAATTTTCAGACTGCATATGGGCCCAGGCAAGGTTACCCAACAACCTTCAAGACAAATAAGAGCATCAGAATGATGTTTACTGGTTGAATAGCAATGTACGAAAGATTTTAAATACCTTGCTTTTTCATCCCTGAGAGACAAATAAACTACTCTTCCATGAGATTTAGACAACTTGGTTTTCCACCTGCCAGAAGCTAGCTCCTCATCAACAATTCTCAACTTCAATGTCAGCATTTCAATCTGCTCTTTTGTCCTGCCGCATTTCTGGTTTTACATAAAAATGACTAGTATCAGAACAGAAATGGTCGCATCTTCATCTAAAATTAACATGTCATCAGTGCAGCAATTTAGATGTCTTTAGGATCTACTGCTATAGGCCTACCAAATCACAGAATTACTTTACAACAGAAAGATTTAGCTTGTAGGTTCTTGGTTTACAGGCCAAGATACCTTGTACAGGTCAAGAAGAATATTGTCAAGAGATTCCTGAGCTTCATTTGGGCAACGATCACGGAAGGATCTTATTGCCTCAATAGCCTCTTCGGCTCGATTTGCTTGCTTCAGTACAGTAGCCATATCCTTCAGTGCGCTCTCAATTCGATCACCACTGTTTATAGCCGCCCAGAACAATGGAACTGCCTTGTTTGGGTCCTTTTCAATCACCTGCAGAAAACAAGACAAGAAAACAAAAACCTCAGATCTAGCTTATGAAAATTTCTAGATTCAGGTTATTACATGCATTTTTGTTCACAAAACTGAAAGAGCTGTAGAAAAAGAAACGCTGTCACTTTGCAAAAAAGCAAGTAACATGTACTGAATGATTTAGCATGAATATGTTGAAGCAACAATTAAGGGAAAAATTAGTACCCACTACAGTTACTAGTTAGAATAGCATGCGTTAGTGGCAACACACCATCAAAACTTGCCCAGGTGGTGTGGCTGGTGTCTATTCAATCTTTTTTGAGATGGTCTATCAGTCTTTTAGTATAATAGATTTCTGGTAACAAGGGAGCCTAGTCATGAGAACACAATTTCTATATCGCTTTACGATTTTACTCTAATACTGGTTTTGTTAAAGAAACATAGAAGTAGTTTTATCTATATCATGGAAATTACCTTCATATTCTCTCTTCTGGTTCAATTAAAAGTGTTTTTTTTTTTTGTGGGTTGAGGGGGGACAGAGAAGCAGAGCTTCCCCTTTCCATTACTGGAAACAAATTCAGATTACAGAGTTCTAGAAAGCAGAAACTATGAAAAAAAGCTAATCAGCAAGAAAAGCTTCACACCAAAACGATGCCATCCCATTGCTTTTTGTGAAGTTTTTGCCCCCAGGATATCCTAAATTCAATTCAAACATATCATGAAACAATGGAAAATACTGTAACTAAAACAACCACAAAATGCTTTTGCCCTTCCTTCTCCCTCACAAACTACTCATTATTGAAATTAATATAGTACACACAGTCACCATATTGAGCATACTTCAGCAACCTAATTTGCAACCTCTCTCCAGAGTAAACGAAATTGCATCGCACATGATGGTTTCCGAATTCCAATTACCTGAGCCTGCTTCGCCCGCACGTAGGGCGAATCCACCGACGACAGCGGCGCCCTAGGAGGCCGGGAACACCCGCCGCTCGTCGGCGGCGTGACACGGTAACCGTAACACCCGCCACCACCGCTCGCCGGGGGCGTCACGTGCGAGGAGCACCCGCCGCTCGCCGGCGGCGTGGCGTGGGCGGCGCGGCCCGAACCGTCCGCGCCCGCAGGCGTGCAGGGGCTCCACCTCGGCGCCGCCCCCCTCGGCGACGTCCACGGCGGCAGCCGCCTCCCTCCGCTCGGCATTGCGGAATTCCGTCGAACACCTGGCGCGCAGACACCAAAATCCCCCCATCAAAATCCATCCACCAAAACAACCAGATCAAACACAACCAAATTAACCACCGCATGCAAAAGCGTCCCCCAACCTCGATCGAGAAGTCGAGAACCCGCCGCCTTCGCCGCCGCGCCGTGCTCGGGCTCGACGCGGATCACGCCGCCGCGGAGTTGAAAGCGAGTGGAGGGAGACGCGAGGACGAAGCGGCGGCGCGTTATATATATACCCCCGCGCGCGCGCGGGGAAGGGGATTTCAAACGGCGCTGACGTGGACGGGGGAGGTGGGGCCCACGGATGCGTACGTGGACGTCGCGTCACGGGTTTCCGATGAGACGGCAGCAGTAAGTGCAGCTCATGCGGCTCCTGTGAATTGTGATGCGAGATTGCGTGAACCACGCATACAATGTGCTCTTCCTGGCTTATTATTGAATAACTTTAGTGTGAATTTTGTGTGTGAAAAACCATAAAAATGGAACTGAATTTACCCTACTTAACTTACTGCGTGCATTTTCAAATTCGAATTTGTTTTTGTTTGAATTTGCTGTGTACATGGTGACTGATTTGGGTGATAAAAAGGCTGACAGATGAGGCACGATGAAAAGAATCTGCTTTTCTGTTATCTAAAAATATACTGTGGCTGTAGCTTCTGTTAAAACAAAGGCTGTTTTTTTGGATAACAGGTAGCGCTCGGCCTCTGCATCCGAAGGTAGATGCACACCGCCAAACAAAATGCAAAGGCTGGGTTTAATATCCATTATCTAACAAAAAATCTGAAAATATATGGTTGACTAATTACATTTTGGGGTCGTTATGTCATGATGAGAAATTGAGAATCACATATTCATTAGTCATGATGTAGATGAATCATCTATTGCTGGCATCAGGTTGCAAAAATGAGCATCAGCTTTAGCTAGGGGTGAAAATGGGTGGATACTGTCGGATTATGGCATTTCCATATCCTAACCCATATTTTCCTTTAAATTCGGAGTCGGATACGGGTAGTGCCGGATAAGATATTACTCATCCCGTATCTTATTCCATATTATTTTCTTCGAATTGGATTTGGAAACGGACATCTATTTGTATCTCTAATTATAGATATTAAATATAAAAAGGTGATTAAAGTATTAAATGAGATACATCAAGAGAAAAATTATACAATATTACATGTGAGCTCGTAAAATAATGATTAACCATTTTTTATCATGTTTGTAGGTGGATTTATAATAGATTTTCATACATATTTTATAATATGGGACATATGGGCGGATACATGACTTCCTGTATCCTTATCCATATTTTCTAACGAATTCGGATTCGAACTCGGATAGTATCGGGTATCCCATTTTTTGTCCCATATTTCTCCCATGAGCCTCGGGTCGGGTGGGCGGTCGGGAAATACCCGCCCCATTTTCACCGCTAGCTTTAGCTGATGAAATAATCGGATACTTGAACTCAAATTCAGTAAATAACAAGTAGGATAGCATTCTGCCTGTAAAAATGAAAAAGAGAGACCAAAATTGGGATATTGCTGTGATGTGCATGTACCACCAGCTGAAGATGAAGAACATAATGTGCTTTTTTGTGCTGCCATGGTCACTAACAATAGCCTAAGACTATAAATTGCTGTGTAGTTTCATGCTTGCTAATATCTCAGCCTTTAACTGTTCTCTTCTAATTTTCCCTGTTGTTGTCACTGGAAATGGTTTACTCCACTGATAATATATCCTTGGCACCTTGAATCTGTTTCAGAAAAAAAAAATAGTGGAGTACTGATCATTTGATAAGTAAGGTAAAAAGAAAAAAGAACTACTACCTGATTACCTAGAGAGGGTCATTTAATTCTAAGATTTTAGAGCTGAGTCCATTTAAAGTTTTTCCATCATGATATCAGTGGATTAGCTAACACTGTACTAGCTGAAAAAATTCAGTTGTAAAAGATAACATTTGCTTGTTAGTTGCTGCATCATTGATCCAAAGAATCAGTGGCACAGGTAGATTTTCTGAATATAGTGACACCTGATAGAGCATCAGGAAGCAAACTTTCCGTCTTATCTCTCATTTATTTCCATTGTTTAAGGACTGATCTGAAACAGTTGATAATTTGACTAATGAAACGCTATGTTGAGACAGAATACCTGCTCAATTTGTTTGTACGGCAATGGTCTTGAAGCATCTGTGCAGAGACTTCTCTGCCTTCCCCCTTGTGCACAGCTCTTGCATCAACCCAGTTCCAGCCATCCCTGATGCTAACACAGGCAACAATTTTCTCCCCGAGACGACTATCCGGCATGCCAATCACCACGGCTTTAGCTAGACCTGGGTGCTGAGACAGTACAGATTCTACCTGAAAATTTTGAGATGAAAATCACCTAAACATGGTTTCACATTTCTACATATGCATAAGCATAATGTCACCCTATGAACATTGCACTACAGCACTAATAGTAGAATCAGTACCTCCTCTGGGTACACATTTTCACCTCCAGTTTTGATTCTTCCCTTTTGTCGCCCCATGAGCCACAGATTACCAGTTTTATCCACCCATCCAATGTCGCCGGTGTCGAGCCATCCATTCCTGACAGAATCTGATGTGTCTATGCTGTTGTTCACCCAGTATCCGGACATCGTATGTAAGCCTCTTGTCAAGATATTCCCAATTGGTGAAGAAGAACTACTGTTACTTCCATTTCTGTTGATCTGTATCTCAATATGAGGCGCTGGTTTGCCAACACACACACCTTCAGAAGAGCTGCCTAACTGGTCCTTAGGTTCTTGAATTTTTGGCCTGGTGAGAACCATGAATGTCAGAGATGAACAGGCCTCAGTCATCCCTGATGAAAATTTTAAGCCAGTTAGTGAACTTTGCAGTAGGTAGCCAATAACATGATTCAGAGCTCATAGTAACAGTAACAGTGATGTCTCAGTTCAGTTTTTTGAGATATGTTACAACTTGCAAGAATCAAAATGACTCCTAATGGTACCTAACTTTAGGGAATTTTTGCAGGAAAAATGAACTTGAAATCAGTGGTAAGTAGTTATACCATAAGCTGAGAAGATAGTGGCATTAGGAAATAAGTGAGAAGCTCCAGTTATCAATTCACTCGACAACCCGCCACCGCCATTGAGAATCTTTGTCACGGTCATCCCGTGGTTCAATATCTTCTGTTTCCTGATGTACCAAAACTTTTAATCAGTCACCAACAAATTGTTCATTCCTAGGCTTCCAGAATCATATTGTATCGCCGTTGTCATACCGAGCATAGGATAGTAGGTCAGCCATGATTGCAGGAACAGTGATGAACGAAGTCACTCTGTGTTCTAGGATGGCGTCGAAAGCCGATTTCACGTCAAATTTAGGTATCAGGACATGACAGCCTCCAGCCATCAGGATTGCCAAGCATGAAGAGATCCCTCCAATATGGCACAAAGGAGCTGTATGCAGGTAGATCTGCAGGCCAGACAAATGTATGATGAAATTCCATTTATATCACATCTAGATGGTTGCTAAGGAAAATAATGTCAACATTAAGTGAACTATATATTCAAGAAAATCATGTGACAATATTTGGATCCTGAAAGCATACATCATCCTCACCATAGCCAACAATGGCAATTTTTGCAAGGGATTGAATGATCAAAGATGTATGGCTTATCGCTACACCCTTTGGTCGTCCCGTAGTGCCTAAATCCAAATAGCTTATGGTTATTTAGAATCAAACTGATCCCAATTCAACCTGTCTATAACATGCATAAAAGGCCGCAGACTGAAATTCCCCAAAGTGCAGATAATTCAGTGCAGAATGAGGGAAGAATCAGCTCAGTGCCAGGAAGAGCAATCGCTTACCAGATGTGAAGCATATCAGAGCAACATCATTTGGAGCAGACACAGGCTCTACTGCTCTAGTAGTTCCTCCTGAGCTCCTCTTGATCTGCTCAACTGATACAACTGATACAACTGAAACAAATTTTCATGTGTAAATACGAGTTGCACTGAGCCATAATTCACAGGGCAACAATATTCTCATATAAATATACCCAGCTTGTTCACAATAATAAAATAACAATCTGAAGAACTTACAGTTTGCAGCTTGGCTGATGCTGCAGAGATTCCCCAGGAAGAGGTAAAGATTAACCGATGTCAAGCTGTTGCTCTCCTTCAGCCGAAGCGCCCATGAGCTGTAGCTGCCATCGAAGATGAACACTGTTGGCTGCACAAGCTCCAGTGCCTGTGAGGCCTCCTCAAAGCTCTGACCACCCACATGGAAGATGACACAGTTCAATGTTCAGTATAAAGTATCAACACAGGCTAGAACAGCACATGGAAATTCAGACAAAATGTTTGAATTGCAGCTCTTTTTTTTCCCTTGAATTTGTGATACATGAGGTGAAGGAATTGAATTATTACCCAGCGGTAGTTGAGAGGAGCGATGATCCCTCCGATGTAAGTGACGGCTAAGAACAGCTCGATGTACTCGATGCTGCAAAGCAGAAGGGAAGCCATGGATGAACACATGAGTGCATCAATCAGAAGCCACAATTACGGGTTTCATTTCTCAAATCAGAGAGGCAAGCTGAAGAGAATGCAAAGCTAGCTCCCAAGTCCCAACCTGTTGAAGGCGACGACGGCGACGACGTGACCACGGCGGACGCCGAGGTTGGAGAGGGCGGCGGCCAGCCTACGCGCCCCGTCGGCGAGGCCAGCGCCGGTCAGGCGGCGATTGCCGGAGACGGCGACGGTGTCTCGGCCGGCGAGGGCGCCGCCGAGGCAGTGGGCAATGTGGCCGCGGCCGTGCTGCTGCGACATTGCGCATGCAACGCAACAGCGTGAGCGAGCGAGGAAGGAGAAGTGTCAACGTGATTGCGTGACATCTGAATCTTTTTTTCTTTCGATTCGAGATAAGAAGTTCAGAGCAGCAGAGATGGTTGTGGTCAGGATAGGAGGCCACTGATTGCTACATATCCAGACAGATAACCTATTTTATCGAGATGTAGAATCTGACCATGTGACTGACTTAAGGACTTCTTGCCTGGAAAAACCTATTTTACCAAGTAGTAGTATTATCTGACCAAGTGACTTTAGACTTCTTGCCTTGCTGCAAGAAAATAGAGCTGAAATGTACAGAAATTTCTGTGAAAATTTTGCAGCAATTTACAGAAACATGGGAAAGTTACTTTCTGTGAAAATCTGCATAAATTTTCCAGTAACAAGGGCAAACTTACGGCGGTTAAACGCACGGCATTAGTTCTTTCTTCATGATCTGATCGCTGCGCAATTCTAGGATACATGCATTCGAATAAAGAAAAAGATGAAATGCACAGGAGGATGAAGTCGATAACCATCGCACAGGCACACCAAAAACAGCAGGGGGATACGGGCACAACCAAAATGCATAATTAACGATACCATTGTTGGATACATTCTTGTCTAGTAGAAAATTAATATGCTAAAGATTAAAAACAAACTTCGATGTTCAGAACTTGAAACAAAACTTTCAACTTTGCAGCGATATGGCAAGAGGCTTAGTCGAAGAGGCTCATGCCCAGGTCACCATCGGACTCCTCCTCGGGCTCTTCCTTCTTCTCTTCCTCCTTGGCAGCCGATGGAGCAGCAGCACCACTGTCGGCGGCAACTGGGGCAGCAACAGCGAACTTGCTGGGGTCCTGAGAAATATAAGCCAGATAAATATGTAAGAAACCATGATGCAACCGCTTCCAAAGCAGCATTAACTTATTTTCTAGTGTGGTAAACAGCATTTTGCTACCATGGATGAACCAATAAAGGCACAAACAGCCTAAGTGAAATACTCCTTGCTACCATAAAAATTCAATTGCTCACTAGACTATGTAATAATGCTCAACGACTAAATCAATTATGTAGATAAGTAAAAATGACCAGTTCACCAGCTAGCTGCATGCTGCTAGGCAGCCGCTGCAGCAGCGCTGCACCAAGCAGCCAAACAAGATGTTAATGTACCGACATGGACATGCTACATTTTAGTATGGTAATCTACTATCTATTGATTATCTTAGTTAGACCAATTATCAAGCATTAAGAAAACATCATCATAAAGTGAAATAGAAACAAGATTACTTTCAAATACTCCTTGATCTTATCAGCATGTGGGTACGAGTATTCGGTCTCCACAGCAACAGCAAGCACATTCTTGTACCCATTGAGGAACATGTGTGGTGCAGCAGCAATAGTTGGGTACGAGATTGCCAGGGAGACTGAGGCAACCATAGAAACACCAGAAGCAAACTTCTCCATCAGGTCATCCTCAGTGAGGTCAAGCACCTCAGGGCTGAAGACTGACCCACTGTCATAGACATTGGTAATAACCAGCCCATATGAGAAGGGGCGGATACCAAGCTTGGCAAGCAGAGCAGACTCGGAGGAGCCCACCTTGTCACCCTTCTTAATGAGCTCCACAGGGGTGATAATTTCCACAGTACCCTTGTTAATCTTGGTGGGGATGTTAAGCACCTGTAACAAGATAGGAACAGTGAGAACATGTAGTTGACTACTTGACTAAGCAGACAAGATAGTATTTATTAACAAATCAACAAATGATCACCTGGAAGAAAGAGGTCTGGGATGGATCCAGACCAGTGTTGCCAGGGGGAACCACCACATCAACAGGAGCAACAAGACCAACACGAGCAGGAGCTCCAACCTGTTTTATAACAAAAACAAATCAGGGTTATTCATTCATCAGATAACATCACAAGTATGCACTGAGATTTCGCAATGAAAAGAGAAGCACAAGTCAAGCAACAAGTCACACTGTAAAAACATAAATTACTGGCTATTTAAAGAAATCTCTAAATTAAACTCCAATATGTAGTGGGATCTACAACATGACATTGCAATATAACCAAAGAACTTGAGACATACACTAAAAGGTGACGAGGTCAAATATTGTGATATCACATCTAACATAACACTTAATTCCATACAAACAGATCATCTACTTTGCATATGGATAAACTTAACATGCATAAGCCTAGCGATAAATTGAGCATGACATTGACTATAATGTCCTAAAGTTGTACATGCTTGCAAAAACTAGCAATACTCATCAGGCATCAAACTGTCACAACCTACTAACAATTGAGATTCTTCCCATGATCACTGTAAGATAACACACTAAAACATCAACCAATTTCACTTAAAGAACAAGTTACTATTATAAAACCAATGCAATATTTCAGAGACAAATCGCATTGGAAAAGTTACATGATGATGAATATGTCCTTTAAAATCTAACAGAAGATCTAGCATCATACAACAAAAATATCGACATAGCATATGGATAAACTGCTCCACAGAAAGTTTCATAATAACACTAATACAGTTACAAACTAGCAAACGGATCAAGCATCAGATTTGCAATTTTTTTACATAACACGCTACTAATATCTTCCACATATAATCAACTGCGAGCGTGCAACCCAATGAATCACATTCAACAAAAACTACAGAATCACCACAATACAATCTACTATCCATGCAGTCTAGAACACAGATTGAATGCCAGTTATACCTTGTACTTGGCAACCTCCTCGCGGACCTCCTTGAGGTCACCCTTGGTGAAGATGAGGCCAACGTTTCCCTACAAAAAAAAAACAGCAAGAACATCACATCGATTTCCAGAAACACGCGTAGGCAAAAACAACCGCAAGAACACGGTGAGTCGGACTTACGACGAGGAGGGGCATGAGCTCGAGGAACTCCTTGTTGCCGGTGTTGTCGGCGTGCACCTTGATGCAGCGGCGGATGAGGGTGTTCTTCCCCATGAGGACGATGGAGTCGCCCCTGAGGCCCTTGCGGATCTCCTGCAGCTGGTTGGACCCGACGTTGTCGGCGACGGCGATGAGCACCTTGGTGTACTCGTCGAGAAGCTGGCAGAGCTTCTTGTCGTACGCCACCTTCTTCTCCGCCTTGGTCCTCTTGATCGCCATCGCTGCGAGCTACACAAACCCTAACCCTAGGCTTAGATCTGCGCGTGGGGAGAGGAGACGGCGAGGACCAAGCTCTCGGCGAGGAGGAGCAAGGCGGACGGCTTGCGGCGGCGGCGTCGCTTTAACCTAGGGTTTCCAGGGTGGGGGGTGCGGGTATTTATAGTGGGAGAGGGATGGGTGTGGCTTCGGGTTGGTGGGCCTGATGGGCTTGGTTTTAGGGTTTCGTGGCGGTTGCGGTCTCAGGAGATGGGCCTTATTGGGCTCTCCGGCGTATGGGCCTTGCCAGAGTCTGCAGAGGGCACGGTTGCCCAAGGAACCAAATTTCTTTTTCTTTTACTTATTGGTAGAGTAATTCGGATCAGGTGGAGTTTTATGAAATTTAATCTAATTCTGGAGATAAATTGTAGATAAAATAAAACAAGTCCTGGTATAATAATAATAAATTAATTAAAGGACTGTATGTAAAATATGTATGGGTCTTTTTATGGGTCTTACGGATAGTAACTTACATTGCGGATTGTGGAGAGAATATTTTGGCTAAAACATAGTAACAATTTTGGTAGAAAACCATTGGAAAAAAAAAGGGAGGCCAAAATCCAAACGGACAACTCTACCAAAATTATGGCAATGATAACTCTTACTGTTGCAAAAATAAGATAATGTTAGGATTGGCAAAGAACCAAACGTGCCGATTTATCTACTGTCGACGCACAGAAGAAACAATCCAATGAGATGTGATCCAAATTCCAACAGATATGCTAACAACACTTTGGCAATTTTTACTATGATGATGAAAATGTCAAAAACTTAGCACCAGAAAATGAACAGGTAACAGCTCTTTCACTAGATTCTCCTCCTGCTGGATGGATGGATGGATGTAAAACACTCTAACAACAACTCACTAAGTTCGCAGTTACGACACCAACACGGCAACACATCTACTGAGCTGATGGCACTCGATTATCAAGAATTCAGAGAAGAAGAAAAGTGAAAAGGATTGGTAGTGTGAGTGATCAGCGGATCATCATCATCATGCTTCTATGGACAGCTTCTTCTTGTGCCTGCTGAGCTTCAGCCGTGGCGTGGTGTCACCCTTCACCACGGCCATCTTCTCCTCGCTCGCCGTCGCCGTTGTCGTCGCTGTCGTCGGAATAGCCTCCTTGGTGCTGCAAATCTGTGGTTTCATGTTGAGGGAGAATCTGCCCTTGCCGGTGCTCCGGCTGCGGCCCAGCCGCTCGATCTCATCCCTCATGGTGGAGCACTCCTTCTCCAGGTCGGCGACGCGCTGCTTCATGTTGTCCATGCCCTCCCGGAGGGCCTGGTTCTCCCGGGAGGCCAGGGGCCAGCCGGGGCGGTATTGCTCGCCGGAGATGGTGGGGATGAGCTGCCTCGAGCCGCCTTCGAGGTTCTCGGAGACCATGAGGCACTCGGCGATGGAGCTCCGTAGCTGGAGCTGCTCGAAGAAGAGGACCTGCACGATGACGCGCAGCGGGAGCCGCTCGTTCTGAGCCGCGTGAGTGCAGGCCTCGAGAGAGAGCTTCTGGCAGTCCATCACCCGGCAAAGTTCTTCCTTCTCTGATTCAGACAGGTGAGGATGCGCCTATGGAGAAAAAATCCAGACAAATTATTAAGCATCTACAAGATCAACATGATACAGCAAGATGCATGATCAAAACTTTAATAGATATAGGTATTGTTTTTAAGATAATAGTTTTTTTTTAGGAAAAGGCAATAGCTATTGGCAATTAGCATGACAACTTCATTGATGGAAGAGAATAGCCAAGCTGTTCTGTACAGTTTAGGCATTGTTTGGATGGCCTGAAATTCCATCCCATCCACATGGATAGGCCAGGATTTCAGGAGCAGGTATTGCTGCAAGCCTACCTGAATAGTAGGCTTCTGAATCCATTCTTCAGTTTCATCAGGAAATCGGCTTACGCAGTTACCAGTGAAACAATACAAGGCTAAATCCCTAATTAAACTGAAAGAGAGGCTTTCCACAAATCACTTGACATACAAACTTGATTATAAATTACAATTTGAAAGGATATATGACGAACTGAGATATGCATGAATGGTAAAATGCTAAACTTAAAACATGCTTTGACTTGCCAAATGACTTGAAAAGCTTCACAAACAAGCATGCTAACATGTCAACAGAAGTAATCGGCAGGAATACAAAAGTATTACCTTCAGATAGATGTCAATGGCACGGTAAAGTCCGTCATCTATTGGCCGGGCATAATCTGGTATAGCAGCAGCCAAAGACCGAAACTTTGGCAGCTTTAGGTTGACATCTGGTGCAACTTCAGCTAGGTAGCCATCAATCAACTTAGCGACCATTGTTATAGGCATAAGTGATGGTGAAGCTAACATTTGTGCATCTTCACCAAGGCCAGGGGAAGCCCCACCAGTTTCTTGATCCATTGCCAAGAAATGGTCAAGAATCTTGTGGACACAATCCACATCATAGAGCGTTTCAACAGACTCAGAGATGTTTGGAATCAGAAGATCTTCCAGGGTAGCCTTATCAAGCTGCATACCTATCCGTCTCTCCAAGTTTGACACGCAAGAAGGGCTGGCTTTTAGGATGATTGCTGTCCGCAGAAGACCAAATAACAGCTTGCAAGATGTGACCCCCCTTTGGAAAGGTAACAGTCTATCAATTTCCTCAAGTAGGTACTTTTGTTCCTCTTCAGAAGGGATTGATGTTAAAGATGATATTGAAAGGCAACTGCTGACATCACTGATGCTTTTACGCCGATTCAGGCCAGGTAAACGCCTTTTGGCATAGTGGTTCAAGGATCCAACAATAATATCCTGATTGATTCCTCGGTATTCCATAGCTGAGATTACTTTTTTGTATAATGGAAGGCTTAAGCATGAAACATCATCATACCACCAATCAGGGCTGCTATGTCTTGGCCTTGCTCCGGTGCTAATGCCATTCCACAAGACGCTTCCTCCTGGACTCTGCATGGGGCCTCCGTACTGGACAACTGGCCACCCAAATAAATCAGGATCAGTACATGATCTAGTTGCAACTGAGTCGATGCACCTCTTTACGATTTGCAATTTTTCAGCAAGATCAATGATGTCATCACAGGTATGGAGGGCCTTGATTGAATCTTTCCAACTCCTAAGGACTGTTTGGGTAAGGAAGTTCTCTGTCTGCGCAATCAAATTCCCCTCAGCAATCTCTTCAGTCATCTCGAGATATTCAGCAGCACAGCGAAGATGCACAACATTGGAGGCAGTCATTTCGAACTTAACACCATAGCAGAACTTAGCAGTTAGTTCAAAAGCCTTTGCTCCCCCAGGAATATCCGATAGGTCAATGACACAACTGTTGTCTCCATTCTCAATCTTCTCTCGGATACAACGCTCCAAAAGGCCACTCTTTGATAATAGAGGAAACTGCAAAATAGAAAAAGAACTTGCTTTTTACAAAGTAATTATCTTCACAAGATTGTATCTATTTTTCCCTCCCTAATACAAATTATCTACTCCCCCCGTCCCAAATATAAGCATTTTTAGGCTCTGACACTGTCTTCGAGATGCTACTTTGACCAACAATATCTATAAAAGTAAGATGTTTTAAATAAAAATAGTTGCATATTATGATGGTTTGTTTAATGATAAATCTAGTAATATGAATATCAATTTTACATGATTGATCTTTTTTGTTTTTTTGCTATTAATAGTCAAAGTTAAAAATGTTTGACTTCTCACTATACTAAAAATGCTTATATTTTGGGACAGAGGGAGTAGTATGTTTTGGTACAAAGGTTTCCCAGGCTGAAAGCAAAGCGTAAGCCAGTTGCATAAATGCTAAAAGAAACATATTGCAAAAGAAAGGAACTCTTGAATGAACTAGTGATGAAAATCTTACCTTGTGAAGATGAAAAGATTGCTCCCCAACTGTGACGGTTATATCACTAGGAAGACCGGTTGTGCAATACCTATATAATGAACATGCTCGTCATCAATACTTTTCAGTTTGGACAATATTTTTCCAGCAAAAAATTCATATGTAAAAAGCTAGAAGTTTAGGGACTGGAATAGACACAAGAGCCACTCTACAAGTGTGGGGCACCTAACCAGATCCTTCTAGGTTTCTGCCACCCCACGGTCAATTGCTATAGATGATACTCCCTCCGTTTCGAAATGTTTGACGCCGTTGACTTTTTAGCACATGTTTGACTGTTCGTCTTATTCAAAAAATTTAAGTAATTATTAATTCTTTTTTTATCATTTGATTCATTGTTAAATATACTTTTATGTAGGCATATAATTTTACATATTTCACAAAAGTTTTTGAATAAGACGAACGGTCAAACATGTGCTAAAAAGTCAACGGTGTCAAACATTTCAAAACGGAGGGAGTATTTATCATTGACAGTTTTGAATGAAATAAATATTTTTTAGCAAATGACCATATCTGTTTATTCTCTTGTCCAAAAATACATTTACCACTGTTGGTTAAGAAAAAATAACTTGGCATTTGTCAAAGTTTGGCACTGATCAAAAATGTACTCAACAGTTTACTTAAAAAAGATAAAATGCCCTATAAAGGTGATGATTAACATATCTGACTATATCAAATAAAGGTATCCCGCATAATTGCATTGAACAGTTGCAGACTTAGTAGTGCACTCCAGGACCAGTATCTGACACATCACACATAGACCCCACTATGATTGTAATGAGAGAGCAAGTGCACAGGAATAAATTTGGTCCATTTAGTGCTCACCATGTGCATATACTACTACAGTTACATACTACTCTCAACAAGTAAACGTAAGATGAGAAACCCAAAAGTCAAGGAATAATATTTCTCAGGAAGGGACGACGCTGCTATAAATAAGTACTAATTCAGGACAAGCAGTATGCACAGTGAACATTCTATTTACCTGCCAATGCCTTGAAACCTTACTCTAATAAATTCCAAAGCAGTACTAAAAAGGGTTTTTTTTTCCAGTTTCTGGACATAAACTGAACTCGAGATAAATTTGAAAATATATTGTTCATTTTTTTCCACAAAAATATCCAGGATGCAATTTTTTTGGCATAAATATACCATCGATCTCGCTGAACCATTGAGCGAAAATGACATGAGCATGACGACGCAGGTGATGTCGCGCGGGGATAGTGCGAGACCGCGCGGTGTCGCGCGCTACACCCTGTCTCGCAGAACAGAACAGCGAGACCAATCGGTCTCTCATATGGAATCAGCGACAGCGAACGTCCATGTCTTTTGGCTACTCTTTAATTAATGATTAATTACCTAAGTAACAATTAAATAATAATCAGTGATTAACTATCCTGATTAGCGATTAATTAATAAATAAATAATCGCTAATCAGGATAATTAATCAATTGGAAGCAGCCAGCCGTTCGGTCCCACCCGCTGGTAATGCGAGACCGCTCGGTCTCGCAGCCTCGCCGCACGACACCACGCGGTCTCGCAGCCATCGTCGTGCAACGGTTGTGCGAGATCGACAGTATATTTGTCAAACAAACTGCATCCCGAATATTCTTGAGAAAGAAAACAAATGAACACTATATTTTCAAATTTAATTCAACTGAACTCCTCTAACACGGTATGAGCATTGTGCGCATCGAAATGGCAATCTTAGCCTATCTGCACTAACAGCCTGCCCCTTGGATGATTGATAGTGAAATCCTCCAGAAAATTGTGCAAGCTAAAAACAAAAAAGGGTGTATAGTTTTTAGCTGGCCTCAATTGTTTTGATTAATGCCCTCCACCCAGAAGAAGTTGGTTATGATATTATAATCAGAGCCCCAGATGAAGCCAACAGCAAGAGGTTTGGCCATGGGTGTGTACAGAAGCTTCTAGTGATATATAGTACTACATTTTTATTAGTAGTATGACCAATAGCACACAGGCAAAACACTCTTATGGGCTGATAATTATACTACTAACGATACCAACAAATAAAGCAATTGAGAATTGCATGATAGTGGTACTACTGTCATTTAAAGAAAAAAGATAAAAAGCTGAACTAATTATGCAGATTAGGCCTGACAGAGAAACATGTTGTGGAAAGCAAGCTGCTGTTCATACCAGTCTTGTCCTTGCTTTCTGAAGACATCAGCTCTTGATCCTAGCTTCAGGCAGGCCATGGTGGAGCTCCTCCAAAATGGTCAGGACGATGGATACCACTACATCAATGAACCACCAGCCCACCAGAGTTTCTTCAGATCAAAGGCTGAATGGTTCGAGCTTTCCACACACTCTTACACCAAACCCTAATAAGGAAATTGAGAAAAAAGTAACAAGAACACCACTTTCCCCCGAGGAAAAAAAACTCAATCCACTCTAAAATCGCCAAAGTGAAGAACACGGACTGAATACCATCAGAGGGCGAAGCTGAAGATCGTGCAGATTACACGGAGCAGCCAGACGAAGTTGCACATCTACAGAACAAGAGATTACTTCAACCCCCAAAAGGAAAAACAAATCCTCCCAAAACTCCTGAAATTCCCACACCCACGCAAGGAAAGCAGATGCCTTTCGAAGCCAAAAAAAACTCTGATCTACACCAACCTAAACCCCCCAACAGAAAAATCCCTCGCTAAACCATCAACACCGACACCCCCAAGAACCCCCCCAAAATCGAAACTTTGAGACAGGAACTCGAGCCCCCCAAATCAGAACTCCAAGAGAAGAAACCACCAACCAAAGAATCAACCCAAGAAACCAGCAATCCCTGCTCCTGCAGTGGTAGAAGAACTGGGAGAGAGAGAGAGTAAAGTGAAGTGCAGGCCGAAACAGGGGGGTGGTTCTTGGGTTTGTTTGGGTCTTTGGGTGCGGATGTGGTCCTAGGAATGTTTATGGCAGGGGGCATACAAGAACATTCTTTTTTGTGGCCTCATCACAGTTTCCCATGGAGAAGAGGACAGAGGAGGAGAATGGAATGGAAATTGGAAGGGGGAAGAGGAGAGGAGATGTGATGACTGATGAAGGAAGGAGGAGGAGGTGGAGGAGAGGTGGTGATGGTCAGGGTGTGGGGCCCACTGCCAGCAGGCTCTCGATCCACTTTGGGTGTACTGTACTGTGGCTCCCTGATTTCTGATTCTCTGTCCCAGATGGACCGTTTAGGCTGAGTTTATTTCCAAACTTTTTCTTCGAAATATAAATTTTTTCATCACATCAAAACTTGTTTACACATATAAACTTTTAACTTTTCTGTCACATCAATTCAATTTCAACCAAATTTTTAATTTTAACGTGAACTAAATACACCCTTAATGGAAGATCATGTCACTTGCAACTTAACTTCCTCTCAATAGTGTAGTTATTTTTTTTCAGATTTCGAGAAATTATAGTTATAGAAATTAAAAAATAAATTAGAAGTCACAAACTAGAAAAGTACAGTTTTTCTATATTTTTGTAAATTGATCTGTTTCTCATAATTTTAAACTTCCTCAAACAGATGTGTCTTCTTTCAACCATTATTGACAGCCATGGAAGAAGGTGGTGGTAGAATAATCCTCCTTGAACAGTAGTAGGAGTACACTGGTTAGGCTCAGATCAATTCATCAGTCAGTTGGTAGGTTATTGGCTTTTTGCATCAGGTCATACCTGTGGGCCCTCCAGATTGAGGTCTAGATGATTCTCACTTTGGCATCTACTCCTACAGTCATACTCCACTCTGATGTCCATCCAGTTTAGCTCTTGGAAAGGAACAGTCTATATGATTCATGCCGGCCATACTTTGGCATATTGGGCCATTTTAGAGCTTGTTTATTTTAATACGAAAATAAATGTTACCATTTGGTGATAAAGTTAACGATTGATAATATCAAATTTTGGTAAAATTAGAAATATAAAGGTGTTGTTTTGTTTGATGCCTTACTAAAATTTGGTATAGTTTTAGGAGTAGAAGGTTAAAGAATTATTAAATTTTGGTAGAGTTTGGCAAGATTATGGTGGTAAAATCTTGTTACCTCTGAATTTAGTTAGGTTTTATTTTGACAGTGTAGTGAACAAATTCTTAGCTAATCAATTTATTGGTAGTTTCAAAAGTTTAGTAGAGTACCGCATTGGTTTACCAAAAAAATTGTCTCGATCCAAGCTCTAACCATGCACTGTACTGAAGTCGCCAATGATTAGTAAGGGTTGGTTTGGTTTGAGGCCTAAATTTGGCTTATCAATATTTGACAATTTCAATATTGTTTAGTGTCTATTTGGTTTGAAGCTAAATTTTGGCATGCCTAAGAAAATAGATCATTTCAATAGTTAACTTAGGCTATTTTGGCTTCAATCCAAATACAACTTTGCCTTCCCAAAATTAGTCATGCGAAAACTTACCAAAATTTGGTATTGCCAAATATTGGTAAGGTCAATTTAGGTCCCAAACCAAACCAGCCCTAAGGCACATTTTGGTGCATCCAAAACAGCCTTTCCCATGTTCAGGCTTTCATTTTGTTAACTTACCATTGGCAACCAAAACTTAAATTTTGAAAGTTGATTTTAGGGGAAACAATTTATGCTAATATATTTTCCAACTTTTATTTCTAAACAGCTAATAATTCATATATAACAGTTTTACTAATAAATTATTTTCAGTTTATTTATTTGTTTCTTTTAGGATTATCAGTTATACCTCAACTGATCAGAACCAAGTAACTTTTTTACTTGCACACTTGGCTTCAGATGTACAGCTAATTCGATATAATTGTACTCCAAAATCTCTTATATTATGAGACTGGGGGAATAATAAGAATGCTAAATATTTTCAATTACCACGAAGATCTTTTTTAAAAAATACCTTCATTTCAAGGGAAGCCTGAAACAAAAATTTACCTTTGCATCTCAGTATGGAATAACACTAAAAAAAGGCAGATATGAAGAGATGGAATATCTTAGGAAGCTTGTAATACCTGTACTTTTGGCATTTTTTTTTTCACACAAAAAGTTGGTGCTGTCTCTGTTCAGCCAGCCACGCATGATTAGGGTCCATGCCATGCTTTGGATTGGGGCTTGGAATCGGATGCCTGCCTTGTGTTTGAAGGCAACATGCATGGTTCTACTAGATTCCACTGGAGCTTGGATGGACACTCCCAATCATACAAGAGAGAAGCAAAACAAAAAGGAAGAATGGATGTTGCAACTGTAAGAAGAATAGGAGTATGTGAAATAAACTCAGGTAGAGTACTAGTTACATTTTTACCGCGTATTTTATACTGAAAAAGGGTTTCTCTCTCGCGCTACAATAAATATCTAGAGATGCTTGTGGTCAGGCTTCAAGAATTTGCAGTGTCAATATGTTTTAGATATTTAGAAGAGGTACATTAGTGTCACATACATAATATTATAAATTTATAATATTGGATTTTTTTTAATACTCTGTGTTATTTTAAACACGATATATGGAGACGTATACGTACGTTCATATGGGCGCACATATATACATCATATCACAATGAACCATATACCCATCTTACTTCTACTAGTCAGACAATATGATAGACAATATGCATAGGTTCCATTACAAGGAACCGGTATACTTTACACCCATTTCACCGATACACTATTAGCACTAAACTAAGGCCTTGTTTAGTTCCAAAGTTTTTTTTTCAAACGTCCAATTTTCCATCACATCAAACATTTCATACACACACAATTTTTCTATCACATCGTACCAATTTCAACTAAATTTTTAAACTTCAGCGTGAACTAAACACAGCCTAATCGATGTTTAAAACTAATAACTTTTTTTATCTATATAGTAACGGCCTATATGTTTTAGCCGAATAATCGTCCATCATCGTCATCTCAGCGCACGCCCAAAATAGTTGCTTGAGAATAAAGGGATGAACGAACGAACAGTAAAAGCCAGAGAGTTCTATTCTCTATAGTCTCTATGCTTATGCTACCGATGAATCTAGACTGTTGGGTTCGAATCCGACGGTCACAGTCACACTTCCTCTACCAAAGCAGTGCACACAGATGATATCAACCCTTGGAAGAATTTTTAGATAATGAAAATAGATTACATCTCCGGATTCTGTCATAAGACACACAGCCATAAGTTTAATAGTAATAAAAAAGGTAAAGATAAAAATAAATCAAAATGATAAATAATGTGATGGGACAAATCCCCAACTCCCATTATTATTGAATAGCGTTAAACTCATAATTTGTTTAGCTAGCAATTCAAACTACGCCACACGTAGTAAAATAAGAGACCTTTTGGCTACCGATTATAAGAGTGTACCCTTGAAACAATTAAAAGTATTTTTTGGGTGGTTGTAAAATTTCATTTTTACATGAGTCTGTGGACCCGTCGAAATGTTTATGGTGTGAAAATGAAATGCACGAGATCATTCCAAAGTGTTATGTCTATGTGCGGGCGGTGCCTAGTTACAGTTTCTGTGGGTTGGGCCAAAATTAGGCCCACCTTGCTATGATGCAGTGCTATGGATGAGTGAACTAATGGGCCCTAGCTAGGCCGTCAGCTCGTTCATGAATCTTTCAGGATGAATTTTTTTTATTTTTAATTTTTTTTATTAAAAGTTTTACAAATATAATTTTCCATTTTGAAAATTGACGGAAGTAGTCGCCTACCGCCCTCTGGGAGGGCGATTTTTAAAAATCGCCATCCCAGAGGGCGGCGAAAATGACGTGGCAGACGGCCGTTCGCTCTCGGGCGACGGCCGTCAACGAAATTTGCAGGCGGCCCCCTTGCCGCCCTCCGCTAGGGCGATTTTGTACTGTGAGGGGGGCCGCCTGCAAATGGGCGGCGAGGGGGCATGGAATTTTGCAGGCGGCCCCCTTGCCGCCCTGGGGGAGGGCGATTTTTGCCTCCCCCCTATAAAGCCCAGTCCCCCCTCTCTGAAATTTCATTATATTCACTAAAAATCCAAAAAAAACGAAAGAGAGAGAGGGGAGGGCAGCAGAAGGGGAGCGGCGAAGCCCTGCTGGTTCGCTCACTTCATCACAGGTTTGCTCTCATACATCTTTTGCATTTGTACTAATATGTTATGTTTGAGTATATATGTTGCGTTTTAGTTTTAGTTCTATATATTTTAGCATATCTGTAGCACACAGCACATATGTGTAGATCCAGAGCATAGAATATAATAGTATGAATTGAGACATAGACAGTAGTGTTAATTGTAAGATGTAGTTTAGTTTGATCTGGAGAATGTAACCTACTTTTAGAATTTTGGAGAACAATATTGTAGAGAATGTAACTTAGGGCGTAGTACAGAAATGCGAGGTTAACGCAGTTATTGTTTTCATCAGGCACAATGTCAAATAAGGTCACATTTCAGATAGTTCACGGTGAAGGAAATATTAGATTTGGTCCAGATGGTGTTGATCTGTCAGATTTTGTAATAACATCTAAGGGCATCGATAGGCCTGCGGAGAGAACATTTCAGTCAATTTATAGTTGGTTGTTGAGAGGATTTAGAATAGACCAAGAAGTCTACACAATGTCAGTATCAGTTGTAGTGAGTCATGCAACAGAAGGTTATTTTTGGGAACTAATGCCGATGGACAGCACTGCTGCTTGGTGACGGTATGTGGAAATGGCTTTTGAACGGTCATGGCCCCTCGTTATATTTGTGTCGGTACAAGAGAAAGATATAAATGTTTCAATGCAAACCGAAGATGTAGAGGGTCCTATCAAGGCAGGGGATGTTGTTGGACCATCGATGCAAAATGAGGAAAATCAACCAAGGGAGGAGCAGGCCATGGGCATGGCGGATGAGGGGGAGAGAGTCGGTATAATTGTTGATGAAATGGAGAGGGAAGATTCGGATAATGAGGAAGCGGACGACGACGCATCATCCGATGAGGAAGGTGATGTAATGGCCACTGATTGGGCAAATGAGGACTTTTCTGGACTTGTTACATCAGAGGGTGATCATGTACCCTGGGAGTATAAGGAGAACGAGGTAATTGACGGTGCAAGGTATGCTCATAAGGATGAGATGAAGGAGGTGGTGAAGCATTGGG